TTCGTCTACCCTCATCACCATCCAAACTTCATTGTACGGTCACAGTTGTTTGGTAGTATTTCAATTTTCATTTTTTTATTTTTACTAACTGAAATGATTACAATTTTGGATCATGTGTACATCTTAGTGAGACAAACCTAATAAAAATATGAAGAAAATAATTCGTAAAATATAAATTGATAAAAATGCCCTTGTAAATTTTCAAGGGTATTTGGTCAATTTATATTTTTCAAATTATTTTTTTCATACTTTTATCAAGTGCGCCTCACTAAGATGTACACACGCTCCAATTTCAAGTAATTTGGATTTATAGAAAACAAATGAAAATTGAAACACTACCAGATAACTACGACTGTGCGATGAAGTTTGAATGATGATAAGGGTAGGCGAAATCAATGTTCATTTTCGCCTATAGGAAAACACTACGTAACGCCTATAACTGAAAATGAACAGTGATTTTGTCTATGCTCATCACCTTCCAAAGTTCATCACACGGTCACAATTGTCCGGTAGCGTTTCATTTTTTTTCTACAAATCAAAATGATCTGAAATTTGGAGCGTGTGTTCATAAAAAATAAAAGAATCTAATAAAATATAAAACAAGTAATTCATAAAATATAAATTAACCAAAATACCTCTAAAAATTTATAGGAGCATTTTGGTCAATTGATAGTTTACAAAATATTTTTTTCATATTTTTATTAGGTGCGTCTCACTAAGATGTACACACGCTTCAAATTTCAAATCATTATGATTTATAGATAAATAAATAAAAGTAGAACTACTAACAGACAATCATGACCGTGCGATACACTTTGGACGGGGATGATGAGCATAGACGAAATCACTGTTCATTTTTTCCTATAAGCATATGGAAGACTTTTTCATATATATATATATATATATGTTATATTCAGTGGTGAACTGAAAAACTTTGCACAATTAGATTTTTAGTTAAAACTAAAGTCGTTGTGACCCAAAGATCACTGTTAAGCCAGAAAGGCAGGAAAAGTGTAGGGATTGTTTTCAGTTGACTTAGATTAAGGATATAAAATCAAATATGGAAAATTTGTTTAGAACACGATCGAGTAGAACCGCTTCTACCAGTACACTCCGTGTTAATAATAAGGAAAAGTTATTATCCATAATATCGTAAAGCAAATCCAAAATTGGAACATCCCAAAAGTTCCCATAACAGATGTTTATAGAAAATGAACTTTTGAATTTAAAAGTAGTTTCTCACTTAAAACTATTGAGAAAACTATTTCTGTCATGGAAACTCTGGATAGTTTCCAACTCCTATCCTCAAGAATCGTTGAAAAACATAAACAGAAACATTTCAACTGTCTGCATGTTGGTCTTATCCAAATAGATGTTAAACCTTTAACCAGGACAGGGGTTAAACAACTTTGTTTTGCTTTGCTTAAGGGATAACAGACATAGAAGGTCCATCTATTCTTTATTAAGAATAGTCGAATTAACTCTTTGTAATGGTCCTATATATTTTAATTGATTTCCAAATTTTTCAGTGGCCTTATCTGCTCCTAATCTATTAAAAGTTTTAACCCTGAAGCTAAAAATTCAAGGTTTTGATATGGATCCTAGATCTCAAAACTTAGTTTTTGTTTAAAAATTTATTATAAAGTTATTAACATTCTATGTCCTGATGCTAGGCAAATGGATACTAAGGGTCAAACCATTTTCTTACAGACTAATATGGATAAATCTAATTTGGTTATACCAATGTATGTATCTTGGAAACATGTTAAATTACCAGAAAGATGGTCCCTTCAGCCTAAAACTCAGACTAAGATTCCTAAAAAATAGAGAACCTAAATAAATAATTGAATATCCGGATGGAGAGATAAAAATACAATTTCCTTCATCTAAAAAAACTAGGCTGAGTATTCCAATACACTTCCTAGGAATCCACTTAGAACCTCAACCTCCTCTATTCGTCAATCTGATTATGAGAAAGCCCATAGTGAGAGAATAGTCCTTGAAGGACTTATAAAGGCTTCAAATCAAGTCCAACATACAATATATAAAGTTGACACTCCTAGTTCTTCCCACACTGAACCAGAAGAGCCGACCCTATCTGAATTTAACTTTGAGATTCTTACAATCCAAAATCTAGATGAGTTTGTAATTGATAAAGAATGGATTAAAAAAGATTTCATCTCTGACGAAAATAAACAAATAAAGGAATGGTTTTCTAAGAATTTAAAGAAAAATTAAGGGATGTTTTTCATAAAAAGTTTAATCAACTTATGATACAATATAGAAGAAATGTGAAATTCTTCAAATGGCTTAAGTACATCCTTAGAAAAAAAGGAATTAAACTTCCAAAGCTTAAAATAAATATAGCTCAAAATTCCGTTTAAACCTTTCACACAATCAAAGGTGAAACAATAGAATCTATCCATCCCCCTGAAACGAGTTTACAATTAAGAAAACAAAACCTTGAAATAAAAGCTTCTCCTTTTAAGTTGGGGCCTAAAAAATTTGAAAATCTAATAGCTAAATTAGAAGGAATATCACACATTATAGAACAAAATAATTATACAAATCTTTTCTTACAAACTATAGGAAAACAAACCACGAGAATTGAAAGTGTCTTGAATAATTTGAAATCTATATGGCAAGAAAAGAAAGAAGAGAAGGTTAAGGAGACAGTCTTATTTAAGCCATCACCAAATATAAATACAAGAAAATTCAGCCTGCAAGAAATCAAGAGAAAAAAAGATAGTAAAGAATTGGTTGATGAGTTAGTCAAAAGACTTGCAAAACTGAATATTGATGATAAGAGAAAATTAGTGATCGGTGAACTACAAGTCCTCCCAAAATATCAGAATTATACAAACCAATAAATATCTGAAATAGAAAATGCTTTTAAGACTAAAAGCTTAGATCTCAACAGAATGGATTATGGGTGGAAGACTAGGCCAGTCGCACAAACTATAATGTATTATCCTAGATCCACTCCTATTTGTCCCAAATAGAAGAAGATCTTATTGTTACTTCTATGTCCTATTCAGGATTGTCAATTGTAAATTGGAATATAGATAGCTTGTCTGAAAATCAGATCCTTGACCTTATAAAACACATGACAATATATGCCACGGCTTGTAAAGCAAGTGGGAATAAAGATCATGAAATTGTTAAAACTATCATATGCGGCTTTACAAGATGGCTTAGAAGATGGTGGGATTTTCATATGGATGAAACTGCAAAAGATCAAATCCTAAATGCTACTAAGCAATGGCTTATTAAAACTGAAATCGGACCTAGACAGGTCCAATAAAATATAGATGCAGTTAATACACTAATCTACACTATCACCCTTCACTTCATTAGAAGTACGATCCTCTTATCTGCTAGATCTGAAG